CAGAACCTAGAGCACTTCCCAGGAATCACACAGTTGACCCTTGATCAACATGTTTGAACTTCGTTGGTTTAATTCATATGCCATTTCTTCCTATAAATAGGTAATGTAAACTTAGGTTTTCAATACAAAAACTATCTTTCTTGTGATTTTCTTAATATTTTCTAGCTTATTTTATTGCGACAATACAGTATATAGTGCATATAACATTCAAAATGTGTGTTAATTGATTGTTTAGCAAGGCAGGCAATCAGTATTACATTTTGGGAAAGTCAAAAGCTATACATGGATTTTTGATTGTGGGGGATTTGTGTCCCTAACCCCCAGATTATTCAAGGGTCGTCTATATTTTCGTCAGTGAAACATACAAATAATTACACCAAATGAAATAACTAAAATTTATGCATATGTCATATCAGTTCAGGATAAATATTGCCAAAAATTATTTTAGGTTAGTTCAGGTCAGATTTTACTACTATGTAAATTATTAAAAATTATTTTTAGGGCCTCCCTGGTGGCACAAGGGGTTAAGTCTCAGCACTATGAGGCAATCAGCAGCAACTGCAGCATGAGTTCCATCTCCCACCAGAGAGCTGATCCATTTGGCACAGCAGACCTTTCCCGTCTCAGTGGCTGCTTCCCTCAGCAGTGTATTTCAGTGGATCTGCCTGTTCTGCTCCCCACTCTGTCTCTGGTGAATTCTCTCACCCAGCCCCCACTCCTCTGGCCTACACCCCAGCTCTTGATTACATAAATAAATAAATCTTTTTAAAAATTACTTTTTAACTTTCAGAGTGTTTTGGCTTTGGAATTAAGGAGAAAGGATTTTGGATTGAAATTAAAAGATTGTGCTTCTGTTGTATAACAGTTTCCAGACTACTTGCTGTATAGCTCTTACATCTACAATCACTCCTTTATATCAGCAGTTTCAACATTTTGTATTTCATCCCTACCTCAGTTGTTTTATTTATTTATTTTATTTTGTTGTTGTTTATTTATTATTTGTCTGTTTGTTTGTTTATTTATTTATACAAGCACTGGGTACAGTCAGAAGCGCAGGAGGGTGAGAGAATTCACCAGAGCCAGAGCGGGGAGCAGAGCAGGCAGAAGGACCAAAGCTGAGGGGAGCAGCGGGTGGCAGGAGAGGTCTGCGTGCCATGCGGGACCCTCCTCTGGTGGCCGGGGAGCAGCTGGGGATCGAACCGGCTCTGCAGAGGCTGCGGGCAGCTTCGCAACCCAGCGCTCAACCGCTGTACCACTGGGGAGGCCCTACCTCAGTTGTTTTAGATAAGGTCCTGTCCAGTGCAGTGGCAGCCATCAACACCTTCACCTACAACAGTGTGCTCCTCACTGGCAAAGGTGCAAATCTAACCACATGTTATTTTGCTAATTCCAGCAGAGGCTCCCAGCTGTCCAGAGAAGAGATTCCTAACATCTAAGTTTCCAATTTAGAATTCCCTTTGATCTAGCTCCTACTTGGACAATTCTACATTGTTTTTGTTGTTCCATTCTCCTCAACATATGACTTAAGTTCACTAGGGTCCTCACTTTTCTAACCTGTGAACTCATCTGTTATTTGTCGATAAATGCCCTTTCCACATGTCAGCTTGGTGACTTTGTATTTGTTCAAGATGCAACCAAAACATCTCATCAGCAAAAGTTTTTCAGACCTGCAAAAGTAGTGAATCATTCTCTTCTTTGTCTCACCATTGCAGCTGGGGTACACATACACACACACACAATTACATTGTGTATGTATGTAGTTTTAACACACAATGATTGAAGGGTGCCTTTGGTCACCCTTGATTTGAGTGGCTCTTTAATGAAGAGTTCTGACTCATCTCCGTTGCGAGTGGAATTGAGGCCTCATTGTCTTTGGTATCCTTTATATTGACTTTTTTTCTTCCCTAATGTGTGTATATATATATATATATATATATACACACATACACATACATACACATATATTATATGCCTTTGTAAGATTGATGACAATATTGCAGATTTTATTTCCACCTAGGCTGTGGGATTCCTTTTTAAAATTTTTCAAAGATTAATTTATTATGCATATAAGAAGTGGAGTATAAGTCAGAGATGTGGGGAGTGAGAGGACTCACCAGAAACAGAGGAGGGAGCAGAGCAGACGGATCTACTGAAATACACTGCTGAGGGGATGGTACTAACTGCCCTGAATATCAGTTTTTTCACTTATGAAAAAGAAGGAATAATAATAATAATACCTATCTTGTAATTTCCATAAGGTACAGCAAACAAAACAACTAGACAGGCACATACTGGCTAGAAACACAGAAGCCCACTGCTTCTATTTCACAAACTTTCCCTGCATTTGTAGGTGAGATGATGAATCAGGGAAACTTTCCAGTTGACTTGATATTATGTCACTTGTTTAATTCCTGAAACTATCTCCTGTGAATGTGTGGGTGTGTGTGTGCTTGTGCATATCTTGGTGTACAATTCTACCTTAAGTGTACACAGGTATTTTTATGCATGCATTGGGTACATTGGCAGTTCTCCAGGCTGTGTGGAACCAGGTAAAGTGATCAAACATGAGCATTTGTCTGCTGCAGATAATTGGACACTGCCTCACAACCATACATCTAACTAATCTCGGCAGGTCCTAACTCTGTCATTCAGCTCAAGAAGATCAGGATTTATACTCCCAAAATCCCTGAGTTTCTATTCTGATGACCTGAAGATTTTGGGCAACACCCTTTAACAGACACAGCTATTGACTCACAAAATTGCATTTATTTTTGAGTATACTTTATTTACAATTGTTCATTCTTTCTTGAAATCTTTTAGAATCGCATTGATTAAAATCATTGCATAAAATAATATTCACTTGTATTTGTTACATATGGCACAGAATAATTTAACACTTTACAAATATGTTTCATTGATGCACAAATGGGAGAAGCACCCTTTGCCAAAAGCAGTACAGTAACTTAGTTCAATTTGGCTACGGTAGCACTTGTAAAAATGACCATGAGATGGCGCTGTGGCCAAGTGGATTAGGTATGCTTTAAACTGCTTTTCCCTAATTATGGCATTTAATTCTTTTCTTTACAGAGGAATCAACCATTCAACTTAGAGTACATTTACTCTATTTTAATAGTATTGACTAAGAGCGAGTCCTTTAATCACAGATCCTTAAATTATTCAAGGACTGTGCTTCACTGGGATGGAGGTTGTATTTAAAAGTTGTAGTAGCCTCAGATTAAACAAAAGGGCCAGCTGGTACCATTTTATTTAATATCAATCTACTATATATGAAGAAAATTGTTTTCATTGCTCTCATAGAATTGTGATAAAATCTTCCTGCAAAATTAGATCAACTTCCAGTTTATTTAAAGAGTTGATACTTATGTTATAGTTTAATCTGCTTTGACAGCAATGAAATCATAGAAACATTAGAACATGAATTCACATTTAAATCGACATGATACAAACATGCACACAGGTATATATACTGAGTGTTTTCATTAATGATTCTTGCTTCTCCTCCATATAAATATATAAATATCAAATAAAGTGCATGGGAACATGTCTATACATGTATACAGATACACTTGTCTATATACACTTGAAGAGATACTTATGAAGAGAAAAAGCGCACATTTGTAATATATATATATATATAGTCAGAAGACATCTGTCAGGCAAAATTTGTGTTCATTCTGGTCAAGATTGAGTATATAAGGGTAGAGTCTGTCATTTTTCTCTAATATGTAATGAGATGTGCTGTTACAAACTAAGGCAAAATACTTTAGAGCGGAGACATTTTAACACTGTGTTTTTAATCAGTCAGCATGGTGTAATTATGGAAGAGTATTCAGTTCAAATGCAGCCTTGATACTAGTGGCTTACTAAAAATTCTGATTTTGAAATAACACCATTCCTGTATCTATCAAGACATGATTAAGCTAACCTGCCACATTTCCAAATTACACAATGGCATCTCTCACATTCTTTAGTTTTCAAATATGTCACCATTTCAAAAGACTTAGGGCAAAAATGATTTCTCATTCAATAGAAATGCTTCAGTATTGTAATCACACATCTTAACAGCTATCACAATAAAAATGTGCAATTTAACTGAAAGTAACAGAATATCAAGATGTACTGCTGCTGTTAATCACTTTTACTCTGTAGCAAACTTTTCCACAAAATATTTCATCACTGCTTTTTTTAATGGTGCTCATTGTTAGTGAGTTTGTTTTCAGGTAAGTGGAACAAAAATGTTGCTGAAGACTTTGATAGTGTAAGTTGGATCTAGTTTGAAGTACATATTTCTAAGCTACTAGCAAATTTTTACTTCCAGTGATATTCCCCCCTCTGTTTGGCTGGTATTCATTGGTAACCCATCAAGAAACTTATTAAGATAATTACCTTAGAATTAAACAAATCTGTTTCTAAACCAGGTAAGAAGGAAATCAGTGGAACTGATTTTTAAAATGTCTTCTCATGTTTTCTACAAGGACCATTTCAATTAGGTCACTTTCTTTAAAGGCAAAGATCTTATTTTAATAACTTTTATATCCCTAATACTAGGAAATTAATTAACATATAGTAAGCAAAGCTGAACAGCTTTAGTAAGTAAAATAGACTGATTTGAAGCATTAACTTATATGATGGGTGCCAAGAGAAAAGTCACCTGCACTGTAGACTCTACTGCTTTGAGTAGTCGGAAACCTGAGTTTATTTCTCCACCCTGACACGGTTATATCAATACTGCTTATGGCTCAGAGGAGCACATGCACGATGCAGTCATTAAGAGCAAGAAACCAAATACCTCAATGGTGCTGTTTAGGAGAAGCAATTTCTAGAAAAGCATTTGGTAATATTAAATTACCCTTTTGATAGTTCACCTAGTAGAACAAATGCTAAACAAGACCGTATTGGAAACTGAGGATAAAGCACGTATAGTGGAAGAAAAAGCAACAGTAGTTATTAAATAACATTTAAAATATTTTTCACTTCTGAGAATAATGAACTTGAAATGCAGCAAATGCCAGCAACTTTTTGAATATTTCAAAATGGCATTTATGAAAAAGCAGGTATGAAAAGTTGTCAAGTATTTAATTTAATTATCTTAGCAATCCAGGTTTCATAACACTGTCCTTAGTGCCTTTTTTTTTTTTTGCTTTTCAAAATATGTATCATAAGTTTTAAAGAGAATTTTTCTTTACTTAGGAAGCCATTATATGCAACCAATTTTTCACTATTTATAGCTATTTTATTTACAGCAATACATAACCAACTCATGCCATCAATTAACCATATGGTAGCAAGGTTTCCACTTGAAAATAGAAGTTAATTTAAACTTATGTATGGCCTCCTTATAATTATATGATAAAAGCTAATTATTTTAAAGACATATCATTTACAATGTTAAAAATAAGTATCATAAAGCTCACAGCTGAAATGCTGTCAGAACATTTTTGAAGTGCACATTTTGTGGCATTTAACCCTGCTTTTCATTGACAGAATAAAATGAGGCATATAGATATTATTGTTGGCTCCACTAGACTGACTTAATTTATTTTCGGCCTCCCTATTTCGTTTTCTTTTCAGATAGGTGAAAACTTGCTCAATGTGCCCTTTACAGTTGCCATGGCAACTAGTCTATCACACACAGCTAACCTTCTCATTCACTGTGTTGACACTGTCTGTAGGAGCATCCTCTGAATGTTGTTCTGAATGTTGTTGTTTTCCTAGAGTAACCATAGTACAGTCGTTTTCTGTTGTCTTGGCCTCATTCTTTGAATTCTTTTTTTGTCCCGCTTGGAGTTGACTGGACTTGTAGGCCAAGGCCGGTATAGTGTTCACTAAAATTAACTGCAGTGGTTTTTTATTTTCCTTGTACTGACAGTGAATATATCGTGAAAAAGCGGACCTGTAGGTCTTATTGAACAGTGTGTACACCAGCGGGTTGACGGCTGAGGAGAGATAACCGATCCAAACAAACACGTTGAGCAGGGCTCCGATGACGTCCTCGTTGCAGGACTCTTTGCAGATGACGGCCATTATGTTCGTGATGAAGAAGGGGCACCACATGACCACGAACAGAAAGAAGACGATGCCTAGCACCTTGCAGGCTTTTTGCTCATTGCTGATGGACTGCATAGTCCTCCGGCCATAGGACCCGGGCTCCCTGTGGATCGACCGCTGGAAGAGCTTTTCTGAAGACAAAGAACTCTGAGGGAGGAAGCTGAAAGAAGATAATTTGGCCCGGCTGCCAAGATCACTCACGCACAAGGTAGCTTCTTTCTGGAGTGACTTGATAGTTAGAAAGTAGGTGATCACCATGATGGTTAAGGGAATGAAAAATGACACGAAAGAGCCGATCAGGACAAAGTTATCATCAGCGAGTAAGCAACTCCCCTCCTTAAAGACCTTGGAATCATCCTGTAGCCCAAAGACAGGGATTGGCATGGATATACCTGGAGATGGACGGAAAATGAAACATGGTTATTAAGGAACTGAGTGCATGTAATGGTGGCTGTTCAGAGGACTTCATATCAACATTGTTTAAAAGCTTAACATATATTTTTGAATGAGAATTTAAAAGTCTCTTGGATTTATTTGTGTGTGTGTATACACAGCCCTTTATTGAGAATCCTTACTTTATAAAGAAATGCAATAAATCTAGCTTTAGCTTTGTTCGTGCTGTATTTTTCTGATTTTATCACTACACTTATTAATTCAAGAGAATATATAGAGAGACAAAAGAAAAAAAAGCTATCATTTATGCCACCACCCAGACAGAGATAATCACCATTAACAATTTGATACTGTTTCTTTTAGACACACACACACACACACATGCACAATTATATACACATTTTCAAAAACATAATTGAGACTCTATTTCATATGCAATTCTGTAACTTTTTTTCTATTGACGTTTTATCACAAGCATGGTTTATAAAATTATAAATAATACATTTTCTTTCTTGAGAAGTTAGAAAATACGTAGAAGTAACAATAAACAAAGAAAAATTACATATATTCTCACCAGCTAGGGACAATCCTAATTTAAATTTTCTGTAGTTTCTTCTTTACAGGTATATGTAAGTATATATGTATAGTTAATATTTTATGTGCAGTTTTAGATCTGCCTGTTCCATTTAATAGCAAATCATGAAAATTACACAAATATTTTTATTTAAAAATGGTTTTCTAATGTGAATATAAAGCAAACTTAACCAATTTTGATTCTTTTGGAGAGCTTCTGTGTTATTAAAAATTCTAGCACATACAAAAGACAGAACCCAGCACAATGAGCCCACTGCCCAACTTCAACAACCGTGAACTCCAAACCTATATCCCTACCTACTGCAATGCCTCCCATGTCACTTTGAAACAAATCCTGAACATTTTATCATTCAATTTATAAATGTTTTATTATATGAATCTAAGAGCTATGCACTTTAAAAAATCCAAACATTATTGCAAAACCATTCCCACTCCCTAAATACAAATTTACTATTTCCTTACAATCATCGGATACAGATATGAAGATGTCTGGACTCCTGAAATGTTTGAGTAAGAACTACTTGAACGTATGCTATGAGTTCCATTGTTCAGTTGTCCCACAAATTTCACTCCTGTGTTTTCAGTAGAGCATTCATAAGGATGGAGTACAAAAAAATCAGTGGCCACTTACTTTTATTGAAAAACATAAGAGTTTAGTACAGGCAGAAACAATATATGACAACACGAGCCCATGTTTATTTGCTCTGTCACTTGAATTTTGAAAATCTGAGAGCTCCCTCAGGCACGGGGCTTAGGCAGGAGATGGCAGAAGCGAGTAAAGGCAATGCCTGGTCTTTGGTCATGCTCATCTCTTCCCCATGATGATAGGATCTTATTAAAGGTGGCCTACAGGTCACTGCCACAATCATGCAGTATGGGGGGGACACAAGTGTTTTCCTCTGCTGACTTTGGTCAGGCCAAGGCAATCAACCACAAAGGAAGAATCAGGTAATGGGGAAGGAGAGGAAGCATGGATTAAATTCTCTGTACAATTTAGTTTAACATCGCTTCTTTTTCAGGCAGTCTGGGAGAAAGTGAGAACAACATTTTTATTCTAACCTCTGCCCATGTTCTTAGTTCTTCAGTGTGCAGCAGGGAGTGTACTGGTCACTGCTTCTAACCACTCTTTTGCATCTAATATGTCGTAAGAACTCAGCCAAGAATACAGGTTCATTACAGAGCTGGGAATCTTGCCATTATCTGGCAAAAATTCCTCTGAAGATGCTTAGCATACTCAAAAAAGAATTCAACTCCATCCAGTCATGAATCTGACTGTCTTAACCTCATGTCACCTCACACTGCCCATCTTTGCAAAGAAGGGACATTGGCTTGAGTTAATGTAATGTTTAGAATAAATCTTTCTCAGTGATATTTGCCATTATCTTAACAGACTTAATTGATATTATTTGTCACTTGTCTATGCAAAGCCATCCCAATATTCTTGGAAGGTGGCGATAAATGACATCAGAGCTGTCCTTAAGGGACACTTCCTGCATTCATGATTTTTCATTTCCTCTCTGTCCCTGGCCCGATGTTGGGAACATTCTGTGGGCCATGAAGAGATGGAAGAACTGTGACTCCAGGAGGAACATCTTTTGAGACTCACTACGCACACCAGCTTTGTTTATCCTTCAGAAAACTCCTGATTGTAAATGTTAAGAGTCGGTTTCTAAGAAGAACGTTTTGTTTTCCAGGTGTTTGAACATGTACCCATGACAGCTGTATTCTTTACTTACCTACAAGATGAGTACAGTTGACAGTGTAGATGTTTATTGACTAGAACAGATGCTTTGGAGTGAGAAAGACCTGGTTTTGTGTCTTGGCTCTGGCTCTGTGCCCTGGCTCTGGCTCTGTGCCCTTTGCCTGCACACCTCATCCCTGCAGGCCTCGTTCCTCATCTACAACCTGAGGCTGGCACCAACATGCCTCTGTGGATGTGGTGAGGATAAAAAGAATAAAATAATCAGGGTACCCGGTACAATTTATTCCAGAGGAGATGTTCTGCCAGTGGTAGATAAACATAAGAGAGTTTTCTCTGGGGAATTATTCACATTAAGTATATTAACTTGACTTTGCTCTATTTGCTTTGTTTGCATTTGCTAGACTTTAATAGATATGAAATAGATTTTATTAAACAAAAGGATGTTAAAAAAAGTTTGACTATTGGCTATATAGCTAATAAATATAATTATTAACTTCTGGCATGGTAACAAAGGGTCGCAATCAATTTTAATTTTGTACGGTTAAAACTGTTGATTGCTTTTCTGAAGTGATAAATTACAGCTATTATTATTAGTCATGACATACATAAACAAAATATTAAACATTCAAAAAAGGTGTATTATTTTGTTATTAAAATCTTGGGTGTGAATTTTCCTAATTGATAAAAAGGAAGGCACTGCCTTAGATCCTTTTATCTATTTGTGACCTGGTGAATTGTATGTGACAATTTTCAACAAATCGGAATATGGGACTACCTAAAATACCATGCACACACACATACACCCTCTAGAACAGCTTGATTTCTGTGGTCAGGGAGAGAAAGGGAGGTTGGAGTCAACTTGCTAATGTAAAGATTCCCCTTCTCAGCCGCCTGGGATAAAGAACCAGATGAGAGTGGATGTGGCAAGAAGGCACAAGCAGGTTACCTTAAATTAGAGGGAGAGAATCAAACTGATTGGGTCTTTAAATGGCCAATTTATATTTCTATATGATAAAATTATTCTCAGGATTCTCACATGCCATTCTTTTTCAGACCCTCAATCATGGGAAGGGGTTAGTAAGGGCTTGTGGCACAAGTAACTAGACAGTTAAAAAAAAACACCCAATAAAAGAGGGGAAGGGATTTTACACCAAAGAACTAGAACACATAGATAGGCTTTGTGGGTTCAATAAGCAGTTCAAAAACACTCTCCTTCCAAGAGAGATGAAGACGCTGGCTGATATCCAAGATTGCGGTCACAGCCATCTCCACTGCATTAATTTTCTGGCTGCTTTGTTTGATAATAGCTACTTTTGGAGACCTGACATCTCCTCTCACTTGAAATTTCTGCATATAAAGCATTTTCCTTTATGAGCAAACAGACAACAATTTGAGCTACGTGACTGTGCATTTTGTTTATTCTATATATTTTTGAAGAGTGAAAAATAGCAATCAAAATTCATTATCAGTATTGCTTCTTCCATGCACATTTTTATTTCTTTTCATTAAAACTCAGACAATGAAATGAATAAGAAACAGGGAAAAATGTGAGGAACGTGAAGGGTTTGACTAGTGTCTTTCGGGTAGCCCTGCTTACTCTGCACATATAGTTTGCTCCTCTGCTAACATCTTATTACAGTCTGGGTAAATGGACTTAACTCTCAAGTACTGGCTATAAAAGACAAACTTTATTCTTAATCCTAGATTTTTGTGTTTAATTTCTTGGAAATGAATGCATGTCTGAGATAGTTTCTTTGGCAATGAGAAGGTTGCCTTACTGTGTAGTGATCCCATGACAGGGACCATGGCAACCGGACCCAGGGGTGTGGGACGTGAAAGAAACATATACTTCCAGGCTCAGGTGAAAAGACCAAATTTTAGTTTGTAGGTTTAATTCATCCTGGGACTACTCCTTTTTCCTTTACATGCTGTTTTTTTTTTTTTTTTTCAAGTTATGTGAGAGAAAGCACCACAAGTGAAGTCTAGAGTAGTCATATGTGTCTTGAGAAGAATCAAATCAATATTAGGGCAACTAGGGCTGGGACTCAGCAGCTTCTTACATACATCATACAGCTCAAGTTGTTGAAGTCCTCGTAGTGTATGGTCTCCTGATGAGCAGTCATACATAAAAGTTAGAACAGCATGTAGTTATCCAAGAATTTGTTTCTTCTTATATTGACTCTGAGTATCTCTAACAATAAATTGTAACTTTTCACATGTATTTATTTGCCTTCAGTTGGTATTTTTGTACAAAATTGTAAAAACATCCCTCACACTCCATATGGGCAGATAAAAATCTCACTTCCTAGTAAAACGGAGGTCTAGTAGTTTACATGATTTATTTAGAATCATGCAGCAATTTAAGTGCAAAATCAAGAAATATGTAGTTTCTTAATTCTTATAGTTCATTCTATCCACTTATTTATTCATTTTGTAGTAGTTATGAAAGTCTATGTTTCAGGAAAATTGTGATATTCCTAAAAAATGCAAATTTTACATATTTTTACATTTATTGGGAAAGGTAGTACTTTCATCAATTTATTAGAAATGTTTCAGTTCCCAAGATGGGTAATAACCACTGAATTATATTAATACCCTTCTTACAGAACACACACACACACCCACACATACACACATTTTCCTTCACGATTCTCTGTATTTTGGTATTTTCTTTTTTCACTAAAGTCTCAGAGTCAAAGTTTC